TTTTTTTTTTTTTACTTTGTGAAAGTCTCTTGGGCCAAAAAAATCTGTTGGGCCTAAATTCGGTTGGTTTGGAGGCCCTAATTGGTTTTTGGTTAATAAACCTTCAATCCGAAACCAAACCAAAAAATTTATTGGTTAATACTAAAACTAGGGTAAAAATATCAAAAACAGATTACACCTACCCGAATTTATTTATTTAATTTTTTTTTTTGGGTTATCGGTTACCCATTCGGGTAACCACCCGAATGCCCAGCCCTACTGGTCTCCCCCTCTAGTGTATATTGTTAAGAGTCCGCGTAACAGTTGGGGGTTGTGCAGCAACTGTACGTACAACGGCAGCAACTGTCCGTACAACATCAGCAATCCTCGTCTAGTCATTTGTCTAGTTAGCTTTCTGTATAATTAGCTATTATTTTCCGACCATGAATCTTGAGGCAATTATTCCACAAAATCTTTGTCTATGTCTGTATGTTCTTTTTCTTTCCACCGTTTTTACACCGTAAATTTTATCTTTTAATCTTTTTTTTTTAATATAAAATTGTTTATGTATTTTTATATATTATTATATTTTTTAAAAATAATTATTATTTTTTAATCTTTTTTAAATTAAAAATATGAAAAAAATTTATTATTTTACTTATATTACTCTTTAGAAAAAAATAAAAAGATAAAATTAAATTTTTTGTGATAAAATAATTATTTAAAATAAATAAATAGTGATAGAATTAAATTAAGGAAAAAATTTTATTTAATTTTAAAAAATAATAATGAATTTTAGACAAATTCAAAGTAAAAAAACCAATTATTTTGGGACAAAAAGAGAAATGCTAGAACAAAAAGATGATAAAAATAATATTTTAAGTATTTATTTTCTCTAACATAATTCTAAACATATAAAGTTTTTTTTTCATCTATTAAAAAAAAGGTTTCTCTATAACTTTCTTTGTAATAAACTTAGTTAACAACCTTTTACTACTAATTTTTTCAATATTAATTTTTAATCAAACACAACAAAATAAATAACTTAATAAAATTCTAACAAAATTTCATTACAAAACCTAAAAACTTTTTATATAACTCTTTTTAATTGTTTTATATAATATTTTTTAATTACTTTTTAATAAAATAATTCTCTCAAGCAAAGTGTCTTGAGATTTTAATTTAAATTTAAGCCCCACCTGTGTTCCCTTTACACCTTTTTCATATTTTTTTTCCCTTAAAAATAGGGAAACTCAAGTGGCCTAGTCACTTTTCTGATCTCTTTTTCTAATTGACGTTGACTGGTCATTTCATAATCAAGTCTAATAAACATGGCATGAATCTCTATCTCTCCCACCATATTATTGCAAGGAATAATTGTTATCTATGAGTAGAGGTATAATTTTCACATGATTTTTTTTAAGGCCAAACAATGAAGCCTACGAGCTAAAACAGACAATTTTGTATGGTGGGAGATGCAATGCAAATCTTGACTTCTAAATTATGGAGCAAGAGAGGTGAGAAAAGGTTAGGAAATGTAGGAGGATTAAAAATCAAAAACACATTGATTATCAGTTGTTAATCCAAGGAAAAACCCCGTCTACTTTGCATAGCATGATGATGAGAAGCTATGGAATTCCTCGGGTGGAATTTTTCCTTGGATTAGCAAAAGCTTTCTGGGAAACCCCAACACCCAAGACATATGAAAACATGATTACATCACAAGCAAATTTCAAAATTCAAACTACTATTACAAAATACTAAACAAACTGTCATCCATTTGAAGGAATTGATTCATCCACCCCAAATCAAGAGGCTCCTCATTACAAAAACTAAACAAGGCATCCCCAATGAAGTTAGGCGTGGACTCTGTATCTCTATTGGAGCAACCTTCTTCTGGTTTCTCTGCTATACCATCAATTTGCTTGTTTAGTTTCGAATTTTGGATCGACTCTAATGCTGCTGATCCTTCATTTTTCTTCTCATTTTGCTTTATTTTTTTGCTCAAATGAGAATTCCAGTAGTTCTTGATTTCATTATCTGTTCTTCCTGGTAATCTACCAGCAATCAAGGACCACCTGAATCGCATGTATCAAGTTATTGTCTTAATCCCATATGTGGAAAATAAAGTCAAAAATAGAAGAGAAAAACTTATATATGTTACCTGTTTCCAAGCAGTTTATGAAGCCTGAGTATCAAGTCCTCTTCTTGGTCTGAAATGTTGCCTCTTTTTATATTGGGTCTAAGATAATTCATCCATCTAAGTCTGCAACTCTTCCCACATCTATTCAACCCTGAAAAGAACTAAGATTTGTGGAGATAAATATGGGTTTATTTAACCATAGTCTGTAATAGCAGGGTTGGTACTCACTAAATTCAGAATCTCGTTTCTATATTGAAGGTTATTTGCAGATCAAAGATGGAAAATTCAAACCTGCTTTGGCTGCTATCATCTTCCATCTCTTTGGGCCATGGATTTCAATGACTTTGGCAAGTTTCTCATCTTCTTCAGCTGTCCATGTTCCTCTGTTCACTTCTTTCTTGGTGCATTTACTGATTATTGGAGCCATCGGCATCTTTCTTCCTTCCTTTCCTTCTATATAGGCTAGCAAATTAGACACTCACCACAGAGTAACAGAGAGAGTTGAAGAGGTTGTTGAAGTGATAGCTATACGGGTGAGACATATATAAATGGGTTAAGGGTCAGCTTTTCTAGCTACCTTTCTTTGGGAAGATAATGAACCTCAACTACCTACTTATAAATGAGAATCACAGAAATACAGATACCTCTCTCTGATTTGACCATTAAAGAATGAGACAATCTATATCATATTAAACAATTTATTTATACCCAATATGAAATCCATTAGGTATTAATTTTTCTAACACAGGACAGGTTAGGGAATGTGGTAGTTTCAGGTGGCAGAGGACAAATTTAGGCTAAATTGGGCTGTGAATTGTTCCTTCAGTAAAATATGATACTCCCATTTATTTATGGTTTAACTCCTAATTTGGGTGTAAATGAATGATAATACATGAATGATCATAATACTACTCTTAACCCAGTTTTGGCACGCCTTTTGCAAACCTTTTGAGGTTATTGCCAGCTTGCCTCATCATTTTCCTTTCCAGTAATTGAAAACCCTAAAGATCAATCATAATGGGTCAGTGTCAGTCCCCACTGGGTCATAAAATAAACACAAATTCAATACAGAATTGAGCTGTTTTGCATGTGATGTTTTGATGATACTTGTTGAGATTTGGAATGGATCCAAAGAATGATGATAAAGAGAACCAGGATGAACAGGTGTAGGACAAGAAGACCATCAAAAGGAAGAAAAATAACAGTCGAATTCATCATTATTTTAGGAGACTTACTTACAGGGAATATTCATGTATATGAAGGAATGTAGTGGTTGAAATTTAATAGAAATGTTATGAGCACATGATGCGCCGAATGCCTCCAATATGCATATGTCACAAATTCTGTGCCAAATGATGCTATTTTATTCTATGCCTTTGTCTGGAGGCACAAGTTGTTTGATAAGGTCAGGAAGTCCATGCCCTCTCCTTTTGGCTTTGGCGGAGGACAGATTTACAGATAATCACCCCAGACTTTTCATTTTATGTCCTATGTCCTTGTCAGATAGAGTTCATTGATTGATTCCAAGAGAATTTTTTCTATGAAAATTATTGTAAAATTCTATCAATTTTGGCTCGAGTTTTAAAAAGATATCTCTATTGTAAAACAAGTTAACCCGATTAATCAAACAAACCCTAAATCTATATACCTACTCCAAACTAGAAGTAAAAATTCTCAAAAAATTATCTTCATAAACAAAAAAGAAGCAAACTCTATAAGTTCTTTCCCATAGGCTAATCCATTTGTTTAACAACTAATTGAGGGGGCAGGTTAAAAGTTAAAAACATATGAGGGATCAATATTGTGATGCCTGATGCCCTGATGTATGAGACTACAAGATGATAAGAACAATGCAAGGGACAAAACTGATAGAAAGAGCACTAATAATTCGATATATATTTAAAAAAGGAAGAGTGAGTTAGAGAAGGAAAAAGAATTGAAGGTTAAGACACTAATCATTATGTTTTGAATTATGATAAGTACGAGAAATCTGATCATAAACATGTGAAGCAATGAGAGCTCGGTGTTAGTAGCAGTAATAATAGTACTTAATTTCTCCGTTTCAAGAATTAAAAACATAAGAAATCCCATTCTGCACCATCATTATTTGGAGTTCGTTTGCCAGAAACTGACAGTTCCTATGTCAATTTATGGTCTATGAGATCTTAGAAGCATCATAACAATCATCAACTTTGTATTTTTAATAGAGAATTATATTATTATTATTATTATTAGCGGGTACCTTTTTATTTGGTAAAATTGGTAAAAAAACAAAAAAAAAGAGTTGGCTCCTCTTTTCACAGCTCCTTTATTAGTGACCAAATTTATTCGGCCAATCAATTTGGAGAGGCTTTTTTCGGTGTTATGATTTTCAAATCCTATTGAAAAAAGTGGTTCACTTAAGAATTGTAATAGAATTTCACATTAAAATATTATTATGAGAATAAATAGAATATATATTTAAAGACCCACAAATGAAGTAAAATTAATTTAATATGATTTTCAAATTCATATGTATTGAACTTATTTAAACTCTTGTAAACCAGTTTATTATTAAAATCTCTTTCTTTGTACATATTGGGCTATTACACGTATTCCCTGTTCAATAAATTTGAGTAACACCCAGGGCCTTGCCCCGTCTCAAGGAGGTGTAAGTGTATCCCCTCAGGATTGGCATGAATTTTGATCCTGAACTATAGCACTCTGCTCTCCTGCAACCTCAAGGCCTTACAATGCCTGTCCAGTGGCCGTACTGAGCTCATCCATGTGATGGCTATTTAAGATCTTATCTCAAAGCACTATTTCATCCTGACATAGCTTTGATTCGGATAAAATTTCTGGTGCCTGAGCTTCATCCCCTGTTTTGACCACAAAGTAGGGTCCCCTTCATGCCGGTTCAATGGCATTAAGTAGTTCCGTTTCATGCCCCTCCACTACCTCAAAATTCTGTGAAGACAATTGCTCTTCAAAAAGCCCAACCCATGAAGTATGGGAACAAAGCCTAGGCCTAGGCCCAGAATCTGGTGAAGACAAAGGCCCAAGAGCAGTCCAAGAGCCTTTTGACCAACATCCCAATTCACATTTCTGCTTAATTCAGATCATGATTAAGCTTACAATTAGGATGCAAAGATGCAGATACAGAGCGTTTACCAAAGAATTGTTTTGAGTAATTTAAATTTAATACTTTCGAATAGGACATATCTTCATAGAATGGAATTTGATTATCAAGATAAGTTCATACTTGGTACTTATATTCCCAAATATATATATATATTTAGAAACAACCTTTTCATCTTTTTTTTTTTTTTACAACTTTATATTATTTAAATTATTATCTCTTTTTATGTATTTAGAACTTATAATATTAAGTATATTCTTTATGTTAAAAAGAATATATTAAGTGTATTCTTTTAATGATATAAAAAAAATTATATAAAAAAATTTATTTATGTATCATCAATATTCTATTTCGAATGAATTTGATTGATTACCAATAAGAATATTCCCATCTATTAAGTATTTCCAGGTTCTGCAAACGTGGAACGTTGCAAAAAGTTGAAGAGGTAGCAATGGGGATGAGCGTCATCCTGAGACTAAAACGCTTGTTCAAACTTCAAGGACATTTTTCTCGACGTTTTAGTTAAGACCAAGTGTAGTCTTTGTTTTTATTAGTTTTTACCAGTAAATTTTTGGTTGTCGAAAGAGTTTATATTCCAAACAAGTTCTGAACATATGATACAGCCATGATAAAAAATTAAAAAGAGAACCAGATTTTCACTGACAGTACAATAGATTCCAATCCAAAATTATATCATATCTGTAGACCATATTTTTGTAGGATCAAATGGGAATATGATGACAAAAAGTAATTATAAAACCCAATATCTTGCATATTGAAAGTTTCATTCAGGGGAACAAAGCACCCAAAGATTGATGTCAAAAAGGCTATCAGCAACACAATGTGTCCTAAAAATTGGACAAGAGAATTTCAGGTAAGATAATGAGATAAAAAGCCCCATAGAAAGTCAAGACATACTACGGAATCAATAGTAGTATGTGTTTCTGTGATCACATAGCCTTCAATTTTATCCATTACAATCATATCAAATAAACATTGCCATGGAAATTGCACCTTGTTCACATTTTTTGTCGGATTCAAACCTATCCACTAGCGAAGGCAAAAAGAAAGGAAGTAAAAAAAAAAAAAACTATCCACTAGCCAATCAATGCTGTAAACATCATTTCTTCTGTGGATAAATAGATTCACTCCTTTAATTTCCTCGGAAAATTATTCACACACAACGTTTTCTTAAAATCAAATCTTACAATCTTAGGTTTCTAAGGTTTTATGGTAAAAATCAAAGAATTTATGATAAAAACCTAAGCCTTTATGGTAAAAAAACATTGTGTGTGCAAAATCAACTTCAATTTTCATACTCATGCTAGCTAATAGATGAAGATAGGCATTGGGGATAAGAACCAGATATGAAAACTACTGTATATGTTTTGTTCACAGCATCAATCAAAAGAAAGTAAACCCTTATTTGTATGGGCAGAAAATTGCATTATGCTTTCTTGAATTTTCTGTGTTTCTTCCACGCAAGAAAGACAAAGAAATCGATATTGCAAGATTCGTGGCGGCTATTCAACTTTCACCATGATGTCTAAATTTGAAGGCGCATGAAGCATCATGTCTTAACAACCCTATGAAATCCCGAGTAAGATGGTCAAAAAGAATCAATCCGTCTTACAATTGGCTAAGGCATGTGCTAAGTCCAAATTTAATTGCTTCACACAATTATCTGAGGCAGTCCAACTTGATATTTCCTATTGAGAAACTAATCATAATGTCAATAATCTCGTTTTCAAAGGGATTTACATTGCCTAATCTTAATTTGCATTACGGTATCAGATTGCATACAACACAAGATCTATTAAACTAAGTGAAATAAAATCCATACACTTGAATAATCAAAGATTTACATACATGTATAATCTATGAATTACGTCTTGAAAACTATAGATTTCTTGTTAGTCGTCTTCAAACAATATTATATAAGTAATCGAAAACATCGTCAATATCCTCAAATATTTTTTATGTGAGTTCTAGAATATGTTTTGTAAGACTGACAAAACATAGTTAGATGTGGAAATCAGATGGCTTGTGCAATATATAGTTAATTAAGTTTAAGTCTATATAAAGTAATAATTAAAACAGATTATGTGATCAAAGTCTACATCAGATGAAGAAAAAAACAAAAGGAAGAACAAATAAAATTAAAGTGCCGCCTTTGAACAAGTTTGATCCAATCATGAAAGGGCAACCCGGGTGTTGGAATGCAAAGGGACATTTTCAAAGCACACAATTAATTCAAATATTAGAAAATTTTGGGATATCCTTGGAATGACTACTAAAACGAAATCAAGTTTCACGATTACGCTTGAATTTAATAATACTATAATAGACAGTTGAGATTCTAATTAGTCTGTGTTTGGATGGTTTCTTTGAACTA